GGGAGGTGCTGGGTCCTCACCCTCTGCCCAGCTCCCTCCCCTTCTACTCCGTTATGTCTTCAGGCGCAGAGCTCACCCCAAGACAGATGCTCGCAGTGCAAGCCAGGGGAAGAAGAAGCCAGGGAGAGGGCACACAGGCGGGAAGGCACACACCACTCAGGCACCCCCGCCAGCCACACAGGACCCTTCAAGTGGCTGGTGGGGAGGGGGTGCCGGGAGGTGGGGGGAGCACAAAGAGCCAGTCCCAAAGGCCCCAGTCCACACATGTACCCCCAAATGTGTGGCCAAGCCACCAGTGAGGATTGGGACATCCCCAGCCATGCTCAGGCAGGCCAGGGACAGGGCAGGACCTGGAGCCCCCGGAGCCTGTGGCCTCCCGCTCCTCTGCCCCAAGGAGGATGGGGCTGCTGTCTGTCCAGCAGCATTCACCCGGCAGCCCTGCCTGAGGACTGCTTGAAGCCGGTGCCACCCAGAGCCTCCAGGCAATGGCCAAGCTTCTCCCAGAAAGCGGGAGCCAGGCTGGCCCTGGGCCTGCATGCACAGCCATGAGCACCGCTCCTGGACGTTTCTGGAGACAACTCTGTCCTGGGCACATGGCAGCAGAGGCCGAGCCCTAACAACCTGATATTCTGCATCCTGCTGGGAGTCTGGGGTGCAGACAGGAGTAGGGGCCTGACGTCCACGATGCTTCCTGCAGAAAACTCACCGCACGGCCCCACCCATGGCCAGAGCCACACCCGGCAACACCTGGTTCCCGCCTCTGCCTGGTGCCCCTCCTGGTCCCTGTAGAGCCTGCCACCACTGCCCTTGGTAAGGCAGATGGACCCGTGAAAGCTCAAAGCCGCAGCTGGCCACAGCAGTACCCTGGGAACAGGGTCCCGGGACTTTCTCATCCCTGCAGGGAACTGCCTGCCCTGCAAGGTGGGACCCTCTCCCTCCAGAAACCCCCACCGAGCAGCCCTCCACTGACAAGGACAGCCCACCCAGGGCCAGCTCTCAGCCTGGGCAGGGGGCCCTCCTTGGGGGTCTGCACCAAGGGAGGAGGTTGGTGGATCGCCTTTCCAAGCACTCCACGGCAGTGGGGGAGACCAGTGGCAGGGGCACGCCCACCGGAGTGCTGCCTACACCTGTTTGAGGAGGGGGTCTGGCTCCTTTGAGCTTTTCAAACCTGGGCAGTGAGCAGACTGAACTTCCCTTCTGCCCAGGGAGCTGCAGCCCGACACCAAGGCACTGAGTTCTGAGCCTGGCTCCTCAGCCAGCCCTGCCCCCCAGGTTCACCCCCCCAGGTACCTCTTGGCTGCTTCTCTGGCCCTGCCTGGCAGTACCTGCTCTGGGCTGGGCTTTCCCTGGCTCTGGGCCCTGGGGCACCCCAGGGTCTGCCCACCTCTCCCTCTCTCACTTGCCCCATCCTCACCAGCCACTTCCACCCCAGGACTCCTGCCCAGCCTGCCTGCTGCCAGCACTCCACAGTAACTCTCCTGAAGGTCCCTTGAGAACTTGGAGAAGTCACCCTGGCCCCCTGGCCCTGGGCCACGCCCAGCGAGCCCACCAGTGAGATGCCCTCTCATCTTCTCTCTGTAGGTGGACTCCAGCCACCTCTCCTCATCTCCTGCCCACTGGATTTAAGGTTTCTGAGGGCAGGTACCACACCTTCCTGTGGGCCTGGCTCTGAGAACAGCCCCCAAAGCCTGCTGCCCAGCCCCTGCAGGGCGCCCCTTCCTCCCGCGGGGTCCTGGCCTACAGGAGCTGAGCGCTGCCCTCTGGCTTGGGCAGGACCATGCCCTGCTCCATTGCCTGAAGGGGCTGGAGGGCTGGAGGCCACACGGTCTATGCAACACACCCTCCTGGGCCTGCTCAGGCCCCACCTAGACCCGCTGGGGGTGCCCCCCACCCACCGAAGAAGCGTTTTCCAGGTCAGGGAAAGGCCAGATGGAGCCTGGACAGTGGGCTCCACCACACACAGGGACACTGCCCCCAGCAGGTCTTGAGCACCCCACCCCTCGGCCAGCAACCATGACTCGGCCTGTGCGGAGGCTTCCCTGGGACTGCGGGCTGAGGTGACGCCAGGCTGTGGCGGGCAGCTGTGCAAAGGAGAGGCCCTCAAGACGGCACCCCAACCAGGCCCGCCAGCAGTGAGTGACAGAACCCACCCTCTGAGCCTGACACCCCGCAAGCAGACAGAACCACTGGCCGCTGAAATGCAGCAGCAGAAAGCATGGCCTGGACCCTGCTGGCTGCCGGCAGAGGGAGGCAGCCCTGCTCGGCCAGCACCCACACCTGGCAGCCCTCACCCCATGTCTGATCCCCCGACGGCAGTGTCTGGGGGCACCTTCCAACAGGCCCTGCCTGGGATATGCTAGCCAGGGTGCCAGGGGCCTTGGGGCTCACAGGCCCAACCACACAGCTCACCACCTCCTCGTGTCTCCCTGTCAACTGCAGCTTCCGTTCCCCAGGACTTGGGCATAGTGCAAGCAAAGAGTAGGGGGGGCAGAAGAGGGCTGTTCCTGTAAGACCAGGGGAGCAGCTGGGAGAAGGTCCAGCCTAGTGGCCCTATCACACCAAGACCTTGGGCTGCATGCTGGGAGCAGCCTCCCCAGCGGGCTGGGAGGTCTGGTGGGGACACTGCTCATGGAGGTTTCGTAGCACACAGTCTTCCACTGAAGTCCCTTGGCAGAAAGCCTCGCCCCAGATAAGGTCAGACAATTATCTCTGGAGCGAAAGGGCAGGCCTGGGAAAGCAGAACTCTCTTGGCATAACTCTCATCAAAGGCTAGCTGGCGAGTTAGTGGCCAGGCCCGGCTCACGCACCCTGAGACCCCCTCATCCATCAAACTCCAGATGACCCTTCAACAGCTGGGACTGAGAGCCGAGGCCAACAGGACAGCCTCCTCCATGGCCTTCCTGGGAAGCTGATGCTCCCACCATGGGAATCCAGGGTGGCAGCTCAAAGTCCTCAGTGAGGCCTGAAGGGACACAGACAGGACGGCCTGAGCCCAGGGTCACTCTAGAAGAAGGGTCAGGAGAGAGCCCGCTGGCTTCACGTGCCTCTTGGAGCTGTTTCCTAAACATCCCATGGCAGCGTGTTGTTGACACACACACACACACACACACACACACACACACACACACACACACACACACGGCACATCCCTTTGTATTCATTACTGTTAATTACAGTGGAAACCCCCTGTAATTAACTGTGTGACAGTATAACTCAATGAAGAGTACGGAGACCAGCCCCTACTCACGGAGACCAGCATGCACGGTGCTGCATACAATTCATTGCTGTCATCACTTACACGCTGATGTTTCCTTATAATAACATTTTATTGGTACGATAATTAGATTATTTCACTGCCTCCCGCATTCTGCTGCCCCAAGCCCCTCCCCGCTGAGGATTTTGCCAACTACAGTTGTTCTTCCTTGGAAACATGCGCATTTTGAACTCAGCTGAACACCGTCTGTCTGCCACCTCCTCCTTGTACCCAGGCCATACCACCCCCACTCGCAACGTCACTACCAGGGTCCCCAAGTGCCTCACTAGTTGGCTACCTAGGGTGGGAAGAGGGCAGCTACCATCTGGCCAGGCCCTGTATGGCTCGGCCTCACTGACATCACAGCCACTGCCCTCCCTGGAGAGCCTGGGGCCTGGCCCACTTTCCTTCAAACACCACCTCCCAGATGTGCCTCAGTGCCACCCTGGGGGACTAGGGGAGGCCCTGCAGCATCCCAGCTAGAGCCACTCCCTCCTGCACCTGCGGGTTGGCCCAGCCCTGCGGGGCTCCCCTCCTCCCTCCCACGATGCACCCCCCCCCACTCCCCTGCCTGCCCGAGGTATAAGGAACTTCCCAGAGAGGCAGGGAGAAGCCATGCCCTATACACCTCTGGGCTACCAGGAGGGGCCCATCCCGGGAAAGGAAAGAAAATGGCCGAGCCCAGCCTCCCACTGAGCAACTCTGAACGCCTGGCCAGCCAGAGAAGGGGACTGGCTGCCGGGCTGGGCCCTAACCTCATAACCCGAAAGACAACCAGGACCAGCCCCCTCCTTCCCGTCCACCAGGAGGTGGAGGTCTCCCATCTCTGGCCCGCGTCCGCGCCGGCCCGGTACCCGGTACTCTCCCTTCCCTGGGGGAGTGCAGCGTCGTGTCAGACGCCAGGCTGGGAGGAGAGAAAGGCGCTGTCCAGCCCGAGTGGCCGGGCTCTCCCCAACACTCCGGCCCTGGATGGAGCGCCTGGCCTGGTCAGCGCGGCGCGGTCCGCCCCCAGGACGTGCGCGGCGGACCCCTGCCCGCTGGCCGCCAGGAGTTGGGGGTCGTGGCCGGGGGCGCGCTGCCCGGGGCGCAGCTGCTCGGGCAGCACGCCTATTAACGCGGCCGTGGCAGACGGCAGATGGGCGCCCGCTCGGCCCCCTCCTCCCGCGGCACAATGGGCCCAGTCGCTGGGGCGCACAATGCGGCCGGGGCCGCGCACCTGCAGCCGGCCGGAGGGGCGCTGGCCCGGCCCAGCCCGCCCCGTGCGTCCCCGTCCGCGTCGCATGTCCTTGGGCCGCGCCCGGCCGACCGCGCCGCGCGGCCTGTGGGGCTCCGCGGCGGGCCCCGCGTCCGGCCGCCCATTGTTCGCGGCCGCCGGCCGGAGGCAGGCCGAGCCTCCAGCACCTCACTCGGGCGACCTGATTCCTGGGCCCCCGCTCACGCACCGTCACACGGCCTCCCTGGCACCGGCCTGTGAGCCCCCGGGCCTCGCCGGAGCACCCGGCCCCATCGGTGTCCGCGGTCCCCCCGGCCCCCGGCCCCCATCGGTGACCCAAGTCCCCTGCCCCACCACCCCGCGTCCCTGGTCCGCCTCGGAGCTCCCGGTCTCCCCGGGCCCCTGGTCCCCCTGAACTCCCGGTCCCCTGCCCCCCATCCCCGGGTGCGCGGTCCCCATCAGTGTCCCCGGACCCCAACGGCTCCCACTACTCCCGGTCCCGACGCCCTCGAAAACCCAGCCGGCCGCACGCACCTGTCTGCCCCTTGCCCAGCGTCTTCTCCAGCCGGTAGGGCCCCACATACTGCGCGTGCTGCGCCCCGCCGCCGTCCTTCCCCGTCGATGTCATCGCTCCCGGGCCCGGCGGCGGCGGCAGGGAGGGGCCGCGTCCGGCCGCGTCCGGCCGTCCGTCCACTCGGCCGGGTCGGCGGCGCCCGGGCGGGCCCGCTTGCTCCGCGCCCCCTGCGCCCCCCGCGCCGCCGCCCCGTGCACCGCGCTCCGCTGCGGCCGGGCCCGAGGCGCTGCCTCCGCCTGTCCGAGAGGACCCGGCGGGCGGGGGCACCAGGCTTCCGCCGCCGCCGCCGCCGCCGCCGCCGCCGAGGCCCGCGCCCCGCGCCCCCCACGCACACCCGCCCGCCCGTCCGCGGCCGCGCAGCGGAACCGAGCCGAGCCGAGCCGAGCCGGCGAGCCGAGGCCGTTCGAGCCGAGCCGAGTCGAGCCGAGGCAAGCCGAGCCCCAACGAACGCAGCCGGCAGCAACGGCGGCGGCGAATGGCTCTCGCACCAGCCAATCAGCCGCAAGGACCAATCGGCGGTGCCCGTCCCTCCTCCCGCCCCGCCCCGCGAGCGCTCGGGGAGCTGGGCTACGGGAGGCTAGGCGGGTGGGGTACGGGCGTCTCCATCCTGCCTTAGGTCCCGACACCGGCACCGGAGCCCGTCCCCGGTCCCTGCCCTAAGTCGCATTCCGGGGACGCGTGGCCGGGGGCCCCCCGCCGTCCCTCTGGCCGCGTCCGCTCCCCTGCGCCGCTCTCCCCCGGGCGGTGCCGGGCCGTGACCTGGTGCGACCCTCCCCCGCCCCGGCCCCCTGGGCACACCGGCGGCCACGCACCGCGGCAGGAACTCACCGAGGCCACGCAGCGGCGGCTTTCCTCCCGAACGGCCGCCAGGCCTCCGTACGACCCTCGCTCCCATGGGCTGGGCGGTCGGCCGGGTGCGCGGCACCGACGGCCCAGGAGAGGCTTCTGCAGGAGCAGCCAGACCTGGGGCGTTTCTTGCAGAAGAACACTCGTGCTTACTGAGCTAGCGCCGCAGAATGTGGTGGGCAAGGAGAGGTGAGGGCCTGAGCCCTGCAGATGGGGTCCCGCAGCCAAGGGGCGCGGGGCGGGGTCTGCCCAAGCCTCACCTGCAGGCTTTTCTGCACGCTCCCCGCTGCCCAGGCCAGCTGCCCTCACTCAGAAGCAGGGCGCTCTCGCCCACCGGGAAACTCATTACCTTCCCAGCGTCCCACATGGGAGGACCTGTTTGCATTTCTTTCCCCCTTTCTCAGCTCAGAAAGGGGAGGCAGCCCTCAAAACAACTGTCTGCCCCACTAGTCCCGTGCATATCTAAGTGTGTTAGGTGTACAGCGCTCGCTAGTCAGGGCCCCGCCAGTGCTGGGCTCACAGCATTAAACAGACCTGGAGGACAGGCTCAACTCCAGGCTTGAGGTGAGGAGGGACACCAGTAGGACTTAAGGAGTGTTTGGGACCTTGGACTAGAGAAATTATCCAACAAGGAGGTCTGGCTGGGGCAGAGGGGGCGTGGTCCTGTGCATTAAGTGCAAGAGATAGGCACGGTCCGTTCTCAGGCAGAGGAGCAGTGGCCCATCCAGGCACGTAGCAGAGGGGCACCTGCCAGGGACATGCCTCTCCGTGCCTCCCTCTGCTGAGTGCCTGCACAGTCACCTCGGCCTCTCCAGCCTGCAGGATTTATCAGAACCCATCTTTCTTGTACCAGGAGCAGATTTGGTCCTGTTGACTATTCCCATCTGGAAGCTCCTGGGCTAAAACTCTAAATTTTCCAGACTCCCACTTCCCCACTCCCACTCCTGGGTTCCTGGGGTCTTTTCTTCCCTGTCTGGCCACCCCTCAGTCTTCTCTGGGTCCATGCAGCCCCTACTTATCAACATTTCTTGGGGATCTTGGGGGAACCCCCTCTACTTGCCTCTCCATGTCCTCCAAGCAGCTGCACACACTCGGCCCATTCCCAAGCCGCCATGGCTATCCCCACCCTCATTCCAGGGCCATGAGGCCAGCTCCCTTCTGCACTTCTTGTTTCTGTTGCACAAATTCTCAAACTCAACACATTCACAGCAGAACACCTCATCACCCCATCTTGGAGGGGGTCAAGAGCACAACCCCTCATGGCAGGCCTCCATTAGCCCGGTCCAGTGCTAGCCTTGGTGCAGAAAAAGTCCAGGAGCCCTGGCTGGAGGATTACACAAACTCTTAAAGGAGAAGCAATAACGCTTCCAGAATGCCGAGGAAGAGAGGACACTTCCTAAGCCCCTGTAGCGACCTCACAACCCTGGGACCAAATCTAGCTAAGGACATGACAAGAAAGTAAAAGTAAAGTTGAGGTACTTTCTGAGTCCAGATGCAAAACTCCTTAACATAATATTAGCAAATTGATTCCAGCAAATATAAAAAGACTAATTCATATGACCACGTAGAGCTTATTTCAGGAATATAAAGTTAAACATTTCAGAATTGACTGATATAATTCACCATGTTAGTCATCTAAAACAGAAAAACCACAAGATGATTTCAGTAGATTACAAAAAAAAGGTATTTGACAAAACTCAACACCCATTCCTGATTTAAAAAACAAAAACAAAACTCTCACTACGGTAGCATCGGGAGGAAGCTCCTTCATTGGTAAAGAGAATCCACAAAACCCAGTGACATCATGCCTGATGGTGAAAGGCTGAGTGGGAATGAGGTGAAAATGTCCACTGTCACTTAATTTCAACCCAGAGGACCTAGCCAATGTGATAAGGCAAGAAAAACAAATACAGCTTTTAGTTTTTACTTTTAATATAACTGGAAATGAAAAATTAAAACCATCTTGATTTGCAGATGATATTACTGCCTATAGATAGAAAACGCTAAGCTACAAAATGCTACTAGAACTAACAAGCGAGCTTGGCAGTCACAGGATACAAAGCCAGATATGAAAATCATCTTTCTGTGTGCTAACAATGGACATCTAGAAATTGAAATGATAAAAACAATACCGTTAACAAATAGAATAAAAAAACATGAAATACTTAGAGGTAACTTTAACAAAATATGTGTGAAACCTCCACACAGAAAACTATAAAAATACCACTGAGAGATTTAAAAAGACCTAAATAAATGAAGAGTCATACCACATGGATTCCAAGACTCAGTATTGTTAACATATCAATTCTCCCCGAATTGATCTATAGATTCAATGCGATTTCAAACAAAAGTACAGCCCCTTTTTTTTTCAGAGAATGATAAGTAGATTCTAAAATTTAAAAAGAAATACAAAGGACCAAGGAAATCCCAAATAACACTGAAGAAGAACAAAGTCAGGAAACTCACACTACCTGATTTCAAGTCTTACTATAAAGCTGCAGCAGTCAAGACAGAACAGTGTCAGCTTAAAGACAAATATATAACTCAAAGTACGCCACCAGACTCCAGAAATCAATCTTACATTTATGGCAATGGGTTTTCAACAATGCAGCAAAGTAATCCAATGGAGAAAGGGTAGTCATTTCAGGAAAAGAGGCTGAAATGTTTAGACACTAATATGCAAATAAACAAAGTTGAAGTTCACCTGGCAAATGTGGATGCAAATAAGCATATGAAAAAAAAGTCAATGTGAATAGTAGAACCACAGTGAGATAACATGGCACACCTATTAGATTGACTAAAATCTGGAACCCTGGCAGCACCACATGTTGGAGAGAATTCAGAGCACCAGGAACATGCTGGGGGGAATGCAAAAACTGTACAGTCCCATTGGAAACCAGTTTGACAATTTCTTATAAAGTTCAACATACACTTACACACAATCCGACAATCCCACTCATGGGTATTTTTCCAAGAAAAATGAAATCTATACCTGCATAAAACTTGCATGCCGATGTTCAGAGCACCTTTATTTGTAATAGCCAAAAATTAGACGTGACCCAAATGCCATTGAATGGGTGAGTGGGTGGAGATGCTGTGGTCTGTCCACGCAGTGAGATGCCACTCCTTACAACAGAGGAAGGTACTGCTGGTACCTGCCGCCACGTGCATGGATCTCTGAAACAAGCTGGAGAAAGAATCTGGTCTCAAAAGGTAACATACTGCATGAGTTCATCTATGATGTAGAAAAAGCAAGACTATGATTACAGAAAGCAAGTTGTGGTTGCCAGTGCAGGGTGAGGGGAGGAGGGTGCTGGCAAAGGGCAGGAGGGAACCTTGTAGAGAGACAGGAATGCTCTACAGCATGATTGTGGTGGTCACAAAACCATGTGCCTCTGTTGGGTTCATTGAGGTGCCCATGGAAAACTGATCGATTTTACTGCATGTAAATTTTACTTCAATAAAACTGACCCGCAGAAATGAGCTCCCCCATGAGGAGCTGAGGAATCGGGTAGGGAGAGAAAGCCCATATGCCCGCCTCCCCCAGTTTTCTATGTCCAATGGCTGTGGGAATGGCAGGGAGTTTCCTGGAGGAGGCAGGCTCAGGCTGCCTGAGGACGGGAGTGCAGAGCAGAATGGACAGTAATGCCCAGTAGGTACACAGGATGTCACGGATGTCCCATCACTGCAGCCAAATGGTTCCTGTGGGGAGGGCTGAGGCCGTCCATTCTGGTGCCCACAGCTCCTCAGGAGGACATATGGGAAAGAGACAGTTTGGACACTTGGCCTCCATGAGAAGCTCAAGGTGGCAGAGCAGCTGCACCCAGAGGTTGGGGGTGGGGGTGCAGGCAGCAGCTGCTCAGCCTCGAGGGCTCTGGATGTCACCTGGTGCACCCCGCGTCCCCTGTCGGGTTGTACGTACGTGAGCTGTGAATACCGCAGGTGGGGGTCATGTTAGCATCTTTCTCTCCACCTCACCCCCCACCCCCAACTCTGCACTGTCCTCCCCTGACAACATCTCCAGGCTGGGGGACACCTGCTCCTGGCTGCCTGGCTCCAGCATTTGCTTCCTGAGGTCTGGGGGGGATGAATTCAGCCATGCATGCATTCATTCACCCCTTCCCCAACCCCCTAAAGTTCCTGGGCATGGGAGAGGGGACAGTGTGACAGCCCCTACCCCAGCAGCTGGCTCTCTGCCCTGGGTGGAGCAGTCATACAAATGGTCACAAGGCCTGGGTGTGTGGCAGCAGTGAGCTGGGGAGAGGTACTTCTAGCCAAGGAAGCTGGCGTGGGGCCGGGGGCGGGTTGGGCATCCTCCTGGGGAGAAGGCATACTCCTGTCACAGGTAGGCAGCAGGCCTGACAGGTGGGTTGCTGACCTCACTGCAGTTTGCCTTCACAGGGGTGGGACGGAGCGGAGGGGCCGTCCCCCTCGTGA